GTGGAATGGCAGGAACACTGACATCTGATTGAAAATTAGAATGGTGTATATTGATGATATCAGTGTCCCTGATACACATATAAAAAATATAGAAAACTTCTTTACAATCCCTTTAAAGGCCATGGCATGCCATTTCAATTTTCAAACACGGATAATTCTGGACACATATGGAATAGAATGCTCCGCTTTCAACTGTGAGCTGTGAACACTATTACTGATTGGCTAAGCTAAAAAAATTCCTGTTTCTGAGGTTATGGTATGATTGGTTCAATGAATAAGAAAAATAAGAACGAAAATATTTGAGATTTTATGTAAATTATACACCTGAGTTGTATTTCATTTTAACCCTGAGATCTATACTGCCACGTCGTTGTGCCGATTTTTTGAGGTTACTCGTGTCCACGTCATCTTCTTCTACGGCTGGCTGCAGAATTTGAAACGGTTCTACTTTATCTTCGAAACATCCAAAAATATACCGTCCAGGGCCGAGTAAGGTTCGTCCAATTAGAAAATTGGCAAAAATCTGTTCATAGCCATGAATGTCAAGGTTATATCGACCATTCTGAAAAAGAAATTTGCTGCCATTTTGTCATCTGAACATATTTTAAATGTCAAGATAATACCTTTGGATTTTTCAACCCGGTTTCGCCCTGTCAGTGATGCAGGTCGGAGGCGTGGACATGGAACTAGTCATTCGGATGGGACAATAAACGGAGGTTTCATGTGCTATAGACTGTGCATGTGGAAGATCCCTCAGTGGATACTGCATGGCATTGGTCGTTTTCATTAGCCAAATCAGGTACTGAAAAGGAGGATGTAAAACTCCATTTAAAGCTTACATCGGTCATCTGTTTAAAACCGTCTATGGCTCGTTTTTGGGCGACATCTTCGGGCAGTCCTACCATCTTCTGGTAAAAACAGGCCAGCTCTTCTATATCTATTACTCCATCTTCTGCAGACAAAAAAAAATCTTATTTTGGGGTCCTATGGAGGAGATGATTTGTTTTAAGGGTTTGCAAACAGCACTAGGCATTTAAGAACTCATTGGGGGAGCCAAGGACAGGTCAGCCTCATTTCTAGGGGTGCCATTGCCATTTTCATTTTTATTATCTTACAATTTTGACGCCATATTGGTTGTTAAGTAACCATGGTTACAAGTGGTAAAAAATGTACTTGCCTTTATAGTCAATGATTTTAAACAGGGTAGGAGTTAACCGGCGTAACCAGATGGGTAGATTACCCAGGCCTTTACAACCGGGTAATAATTTATTCCAAAGATCAAACCAAACTTTTAACTCAACTTTACCTGAAATCGAGATCCAGGAAACATCGGCACTGGACCTGTAATTATTTGAGGCCAGTTGGGAATTTGGCCTATGGACTACTGGTAATGTTCATGAACAATGTTATCCCTATGGCACATAACATTCTTTGGTTTCCAGGGATGATGAAAGCTTGCATCTGCTCACATCAGCTACAACTTTTGCCTTTAATTTTGTGGAATTGCAGGAACCACAGACGTCTGATTGAAAATTGGAATGGTACAAATTGATGCTATCAGTGTCCCTGATACACATAAAAAATCTAGCAAACCTCTTTACAATCAAGGAACTAGGAACTAAAGATCAAGGAACTCAGGAAGCCAACCTACCACCTGCTTGATCTCGCTCTGCTTTATCTGTCATAACTTCATAAAATACATGACAGACCTCATAACATTCCTTGCCTTCTATACTATCTGATTCCCAACTCGTATAGTCTAAGATTTTCTACAACATAACAAAAGAGATACATTTGTGTACAGAAGGAGATGGATTTTTAACAAGCTTGAGCTTCTATATATGACAGTGTCTCAAGAAAAGACGAGTTATCATTTTAACTTTTAAACACAAATAATTCTAGACACACATGGATTTGAAGACTCAAATTTTGACAGTGAGCTGTGAACACTATTACTGATTGGCTTAGCTATAAAATTCCTGTTTCTAAGACTAAGGTACAATTAGTCATGGTTTATTCTGTCCCTTTAAGCAAGCTGATAAAACAAATGGTGAACATGTCCCTTTAAACAGCTGAAGGTTAGTTTGAACAGATAGATTAAAACTTGATTGCATTTCAACATGGAAATTGATGATAATGAATGATAATGAATGATAATGAATGATAATAAATGATAATGACTATGACCTTTATGATAATGAAATAATAATGATGTATTTATTTGAGCAGCAGATGACCTTTTCACACCTTTACATGGACAAGTGGTTGATTCTTTACTCTTTATACACGCTATTTCATTCATTCATTCAGTTGTAAAGTAGTTTCTTGCTATCTTTCAAAAGATTTCAATACCCTAACCAACTGAGCTACAGCCTATCCATGGTTATGGACAATTAAATATATTCTTGAGAAATCGTAATTTACTAACCTCCATGAGAAGTTTAAAATCGTTCATATCCAAACTTTTATTTCCATCTGCATCTGATAAAAAACAGGCAAAATTATCATACCAAAGGTTTGTAGATGCAGTGATTTGATTGGATTGTACACTAGCGAATACAGCAAATCAGAGCCCTTGGCCAATGCACTGTAAACAAATTGACTTTGCTATCAATCAAGAGCTTTGATTTGCTGTATTTGTTAGCATACAATCCAATCAAATTGCTGCATTTACAAACTTTCGTGATACAAGAAATATAGTTTATGTTGTCAAGGTATAAGACACAGTTTGTAATAGCTTGACATTTTTAAGATGATGTTTTGTGAAAACTACGGTTGGACAGCTAAATGATTCCACATAATTTTAGAATAATATGTTATAATAACTTACCAAAAAAATTGAAATAATATTCCAGTTTGATTTTCTGGAACTTTGTCAGGGACTGGTCAGCCATTTTCTTTTTTGACGGTAGACTTCTGGAATTAGAACAGAATAAATAAACCAAGTACTAACGATCGGAACCACACAACAAATCCATTTTGGCATTTCTTAAAAGCCTAGTGCTCAAAAATAAATGTTAAAAAATTAATGCTTACGTCATTTTTCGCTTTGTTGAAATAGAATCAAGTCAATGATTAAAATCCAAAATATTTAATTGCTCCCAAACCTCAATCCACAATAAGTAATTTAGTATCAAGGGTATCAAGAGTTTAAACTGTTAGAATACTGATAAAATCTCACTGTTTCATTGGGTGTTTCAAGACAATAGAGTTTTAAAGAGCAAGGGGATGGGATGAAATGCCACAATGCCCTATCAATGTGTGCTCAATTTTCTGTACATTATGTGCTCCATTTTCTGCACATTATGTGCTCCGTTTCCGGCACATTATGTGCTCAATTTTCTGTGCATTATGTGCTCAATTTTCCATACATTATGTGCTCAGTTTTCTGCACATTATGTGTTTAAATTTCTGTACATTGTGTGCTCAGTTTTCTACACATTATGTGCTCAGTATTCTGCACATGATTTCTGCACATGAAGTGCTCAGTTTTCTGTACAATATGTGCTCAGTTTTCTGCATATTATGTGCTCAATGTTCCATACATTATGTGCTCAATTTTCCATACATTATGTGCTCAGTTCTACACATTATGTGCTCAGTTTTCTGCACATGATGTGCTCAATTTTCTACACATTATGTGCTCAGTTCTGCCTATTTTGTGCTTCTGCACATGATGTGCTCAATTTTCTACACATTATCTGCTCAGTTCTGCCTTTTTTGTGCTCTATTTTCTGCCCATTATGTGCTCAATTTTCCATACATTATGTGCTCAGTTTTCTGCATATTATGTGCTCAATTTTTTTTGTTCTGTTATTTAATATAATCCTTACCCCTAAAATGTGGTATTAGAATATCTTTCCTCAATAACTAATGTGAGATAAAATAAAATTCAAACATAAAAAGTTGAATTGTTTACTGAACGTCAATATGTAGATATTGCATACAATTTCATGTTTGATTTAGAACTTATCAAGTACTTGTGGCTCAAAAGATAACATTTTTAAAGATGCATACCCTTGTTTGGGGACAATGATTTTTGTAAAAGTATGGCAGCTACAGTGAAATATTATTCATTTTAATGTTGATTTAGAAACTATCAGAGATTCAAACAATAAATTTGTATTCTAAAGAGTTTTTTTTAAATATATTTGCACCATTCAGACATGTGTGGTTCCTTTAATTATAGACAAACTTAAACCTATCATGATGTCACTATTATGTCACCATTTAAACCAGATAATGAACAAAGCTATTCTATTATGATATAAAATGTTCATGCCCCAACCAGTTGCTTTGTTTTTTTAGAAATGGGTGTAGAACAGGAGGGCTTTTCTTTAAGTTAATACAGGACAATCCAACTTGATTGTGAATTGGCTGTCTGTATTAGACCTTGAACTTATAAATTATGTGTTTAAGGTGGTCTTAAAAAAACACTGAATATATTACAAATATCATATTACGTACAGAAAGAAAAGAGACCACCATTTTCTTTTTTAGGTTCATGAGGTTCCTGTCTACTAGCTGGTCCTTGACCAAGCCCTTTGGCTTTAATCTTTCCTGAATTAGACCCATACCCATTTACTGCTTGGTCAACTAGAATTATGGGGATTCTCTCTCCCAGCTGGTCCTTGACCCAAATGGACATCTGAAACAGTTCCAAAGAGGGTACTGTCCAACATTCTTTGCCAAAGAAACATTAGGACATAAAACATCATTTGCCCGAAACTTTCTTTTTCAGGGAGAGCGGTAACCATTGCTACAAACAAGAAAAAATTTGAGAAAAAAGTAGTATTAACCTCGATCAGCGAGTGAAACGAAGAGTGTAAAAATAGCAGACAAGATACTGAACAAATGGGTGAGTGAATCTTGGAATCCGTTTCCCAAAAATCTTACAATCAATATGAATATGTGATAAAAACGTGGGTCGTTGAATTTATAAACTTGCCGATGCTTACGAGACATTTTCTGTGAAAATATCGGTAGTTTTTGGGCATTTTGTGTGAATGATTTCGTGGAAACAGTTTTGGATTATCAATGAAAATCATTGTTATGACAAAAAATGTCTTTTGCACCAGAATAAATTGGAGTAAGCTCCCTTGTTTAGAATTTGTACTTCCTCAGTTATTCCCCTTTAAAACAAGATCTTCTAACAACCAACTTTGAAGTAAGAAAAGGGTGGCGCTGGATATATTAGTTCTGAACAGGTTCCGTCTATAATTGAAAGGTACTGGACCAGATGGCACATTCAAATTTTTTTCCTTTCTTCGCCATTTTGAATTCTGTCTTCACCTGCTTTTTTGATACATGCGGAATGCGTTCTGAACCAGTTGATTCCATGAACTCTGATCATGCAGAATTCACCAGTCCAGAGCCCAAAAGGATCAAACTTTGCCGCACTCGTAACACTTTCCTTTCGGCCAATCCAATATCACAAAACATCAAGTTAAAAAAATAAGCTTTATTAATCAAAATGTCAGCTTTAAGAATGTTTGAACACTTTAAAAAATGACAAATATTTACACCATTAAAAATAAGTACAGAAAAATTAGTAAAATAGTTTGGTTAAAAATATATAACTTTTGACTGAGCATGTAGACTCTAAATGAACTTTCATCCAATCAAATAACTAGAATTCAATTCTGGTTCAAAATTTCTCTACAATAATTGGCTGAATTTTAAAACGTATTAAAATTGAATTTGAGCTCTTTGCACTATAATGTTGGGACACCTGATGCTACTTTTTGACTAGGTGTGTCAACTTGAGACCACTTTAGGAAATGAATCAAATTTGTGGGTTTGTTTTTGATTATCGTTGTATAAGTTTTCTGCAGTAGGATTTTGAGACGGGTAGTTGAGTAGACTGTTTAATTAATGTTTGGTTCTCCAGCCACAATTTGACTTTCGATACCACATTCGTCAGTTCCTCTTCGAATCTTGAAGAAACCTGGATAAAAAAAAATAATATTAAAATTCAACTCACCAGCAGAAAGACTGGGGGTACAAACAGGGGTAGACAGACTTTATGGGGGGACAACTTTCAAGGTTTAGGTTGAGACTGTGTGATATTATTTACAAAACAAAACATAAAAATTCTCACCTTTGTCTCCCCAGTCTGAGTTCCAGGAATTGGCAACGAGCCAATAATCAGTACCATCTTCTACACCATATCCCAGGATCTTTACGGCATGTCCTCCGAGAGCTGCACCACTAGTATGTTGATAGACGCCTAAAATGTACAAGACGACAATGATGGGCAATTCAGAGTTGCGGATCCAATCCATCTGATCTCGAAGGGGAAACTGACTCTTCCAAAAATACCATAATGATAGGACAATCCAGAGTTGTGGATCCAATCCAACTTCTGAACTCAAAAGGGAAATATACTCCTCAGGATCCAATCCAACTTGGGTATTTTCTGGTCTCAAATGGGAGACATACTTCTTGTGTGAGCTAAGCTGATGTATTTACCAGTTATATCATATGTCACAAAGTGCCCAGTTCCTTGGTCTGTCACGCCAGTTTTTCTTAATTTGTCACGCATGCCCAACCAAAATTGGAAATACATTTACTAAGTTTTGACTTACGAACATTCTTGATGAAAGAAAAGAAAGGATGTACCTGATTTATAGTTTAAGAAATCGGCGTAAACAGTATAAGCAGCTTCAACTGGTCCATTATTTACTAATTCAGCCATGACATCTTGAACAGACTCTACTCTATAGGAAGATTTACCTGAAATAACAATAGAATCTTATGAGTTATATGTGTATGGAAGACCATGGGGAGGAATTATTTCCAGTGGGGGGATGGGAAGATGTCAGAGTCTTGGCGAGGTTATCTACAGCGGAAATTGACGTCATTTAAAAAAAAACTAGAAAAACTAACATTAAGGAATATTTTGATAATTCCTACCTCTGACTTTGTCTGCAGAATATGTACCGTTATAGTTGGCCTCACATTTGTGGGAACATCTGGGTGTTTTTCCTTCTCCGGAACATGGAGCAAGATGGCCGACAACATGGTGATCACAAGATTTAATTTCATATGGTTGACATCCCTGCAACAAAAAGATTGTAAAGAGGTTTTCTGCACTTTTTAGCATTTCTGTAATTACTAATTATTAATCATAGACGTCTGATTGAAAATTGGAATGGTGCCATTTGATGCTATCAATCATATATGAATACTCAAAATATTGTGTGACTTCACGACCATAAAATGTTCAAACCACGGTCCACTAACCTGGTGAGAGTTGTACTGGCCTCCAGTGACGATTCCTTCAGTTTTAAAGAAATCCCAAGCAGCAGCAGGGAATCCACCATTACATCTGAAACAAGAAATTTCATTGGATGGAATTAACATTTGTAACAAACGATTTCATTGGACATTGGATAAGACCAAACTTTCGTGAGATGCTGATAAGATCATCGTCAATTTTTAGCTTCTGTAAACAAAATCATAGACAAAGATATCCAGTGTGTTAAGCAAATGAAATTCATTGTAGTCTGTATCATCCAGTCCCACTTCACCTACGCACAGATGCAACAAAAAGACCGGACGTCTTTATTCATTATTACTTAATACTAACATAAGAGGCATGGCAAAAGCTTGGAGCCAACAAAAACCAGGGTGGGATTACAAAGGCAACGCAATACAAAGACAAAATTATGTGGTAGCCATTTTTGAAAAAATCTTGATCCATTTTTGTCGAAAGTGTGCCTTTTTTCAAAGTATTTTTTGAGATACGAATGTAGTTATTAATCAACCAAACTCTAAAATAAATTTCAATTTTTCATTTCCATTTTCCAGAAAAATGCTTGAGCTTAAAATAGAGCAAAAAGCTTAAGCGATCACTGAAAAGGGAGGGGTTTTTTAAGCGCTTTGTATGGCTGCCAATGAAATCTCACCCAAAACCACATAGATGGCAGCATGTCATCAAGTTTTCGGCAGAAATGTGACGATTTTTGGTTCCGTTGGAAGAGATACAGATTCTATCGGACATGGCTTCCACTGCTCCAAATGCCTAGAAACATAAAGAAATTAAAAATAAATGGCGTCTGATTTCTTACCCATAGCCACAAGAAGAGCAGCATGTCAATAAATCTTCAGCAGAGATGTGTCTGTTTTCAGTTCCGTTGGAACGAATGCAAATTCTGTCGGACATAGCTTCAACAGCACCAAATGCCTATGGAAAAGGGAAGTAATGATATATATAATTAAAACAGAACATGAAACATGCTGTTACTCAGAGTTTCACTCTATGCGATCTTTAGACAACTGAATTGTTTCAGCCTGTGTCCCTACTGAAGTTTGACAAGTAGAGATCTTCAGACAACTGATCTATAGCAGCCTGTGTACCTACTGAAGTTTGACAGAACCTGAAACATGCTGTTATTCAAAGGTTCACGCTGTGCGATCTTCAGACATCTGACCTATTTCAGCCTGTGTCCCTACTGAAATTTGACAGAACCTGAAACATGTTTCACCCTATGTGTTGTAGAACTAAACTTACCCAGCAGGATCCACAGCTTCCCTGGTCTCGGACTTCTTTCAATGTTGGACAGTTCGGCCATTGAACTCGAGCATCAAAATTGGTGGGAAGATCTGCTACTTGATGTGTTTTCTGTGGAAGTTTATCGTGGTATTTTTTAGAGTCAGGATGGACACCCATCAATTTGTGGATATATTTGCGGTCAATATTTTCAGCAAAATTTCGTTGAGCCTGAAAAATAAAAAGATTATCACATTACAAGTAGATGAAGGCGAAAACGATTAGGGATAATCTGGGAAAGATCTTGTATAATCTGTGTCTACAGATCGACTATGAATTGTGGGCTAGCGAAAGCCAAGACAGAGCGATACAATCTTCAGACAACTGACCTATTTTCAGTCTGGATCCCTACTTAAGTTGCACAGGTAGAACTTAATCTCATGTCTACATTTCGAAACAAGTTCGGAATGTTTGTTTAATTCAAGATAGACAACTCTGATATCATTTCACAAACCTTCCATGTTTTTGCCGCTTTATTGATATAATCAATCTCTGCGTCTGACAACAGACCAAAGTTAGGTTTTTTTGGTGCTGCTGTTGCCACGACAACCAGAGCAGCGACGACTGCTACAAATAACTTCATAATGTTCTGAAGAAGAGAAAAAATTGTTATTAAAATACAAATTTTAGAGTAAAACATTCAACTAGTGCTTAAAATTTGAAACACTCACAAAGTTTGGTCCTTAAAAGGATAGCCTAGCCTTCTTTTTGAAATGATGAAGGTATTCTAAACCTTGTGAACTCTGTTTTCGCTTAAGACAGAAAGCAATTTAGTGTTGGTCTTTATCTGTCAAATACAGTACGGTAATAGATAAAAAAAACAAAAGACTTTAAACATTACACCTACTTATAAGCCCTAAAAGTTCTCTAAAATGAATTTTCCAAATTCGGGATTGCAAGCTGACAGATTTTAAAACAAACTGATGCCTCAATATGTCTGACCTAACAAGGAAACAAAAATTATAATGCCTTTAGGAAGTTGAACGACATGAGCTTGGCTTTTTCCCCTTAACAGACACAAGTCCCTTTCGCCACTTTCGTCCTTTGTCTTGCGTCTCCCTCCTCAAACCCTACAAACTAACTGAAAAAAATATCCGTAAACAAAAGCTGTTAATTCCTGACCACATCTCACCTTTGATTGCTAATTAACCACTCAAAACAATGGGTAGGTGTAAAATTTGAGTTACTTTTTATTTTATAACGGAATTTTTATCACGAGATGGGGTGTATCATGTGATAGTCATGTGACAAAAGTCATGTGACATAGTCATGTGACTTAATTTTAATAACAAAAGTCACGTGATTTAAATTAATTTGTTGTTGTCTGTAGGGAATTTCTTAGATGAGTTTTCTCCCTTGCATTTCCAATATGGCTGCGCCCAGGCAGTTAATAAACATTACAAACAAAATAAGAAAAGTATATCAACAGCAAGTCCGTCAGCTAACACAAGTCTCTGTAAGTCAGCAGCAACTGTCTATTATTCTTTTATGATGTCCTGTGCGGTCACCTATCCTGTCCAATTCTTTCTGGACCTATCCAATTCTTTCTGGACCTATCCAATTCTTTCTGGTCCGATCGTATCACTTTCTTTTTCTTATCTGCAAACACTCTACTTTGTCAGTCAAATCCTTTGTGTTGTTTCTTTCCAGATTGCAGGATTGCCAAGTTTTGTTAAAATCGTAGAAGTTGGACCCAGGGATGGCTTACAGAATGAAAAGGTCAGGAAAGATAACTTTAATTTTTATAATATAAAACACTTAACTAAAACAGTACTGTACGAGGTTATAGGCAGATACACACTTATTGACTCTGTAAATTCAATTTACAAATAACTTAGAACTGGACTTTGGTAGAAAACTGCTTAGATTACAGTGTAGATCAAACTATAAGAAAAATTCATATTGTAATCATACTGTATATTTCTATGTAGAATGTGTTGTTTCAGGATATTGTACCCAGCAAAATAAAAGTAGAATTGATAAATAAATTATCAGAATCAGGCCTTCCTGTTATAGAGGTCACAAGTTTTGTCTCTCCAAAATGGGTTCCTCAGGTAAGTTGAACATCTTTTCTTACTCACTCTCCCTGATGCCACTCTGCCACTAGGCTTATCAGCTAAGCACCTGCTTCGAGGGGTCCACATGGCTATTGAATATCCCCATCCCCATAATGGCATTGTAAAGAGGTTTTCTGAAAAGCCAATGCCAGTCTGCCACTAGATTTATCAGCTAAGCATCTTCTTCGAAGAGTCTACATGGTTTATGAATATCTCCATTCCATTGAATACCCAATGTGAAATTTGTTCTATTTTTAGATGGGAGACCACAAGGAGGTTCTAGCAGAAATCCAAAGAAAACCCAATGTTGTTTATTCTGCTCTAACACCAAATCTGAAAGGCTTCAAATCTGCAGTAAGTTTTCAATCTTTTGAGGATCTTTTCTGTTCCAGAACAACTCTGAACCATTCCCCAGAACAAACCAAATTGACCCATGAACAACTCTTTTGACCTCGTCAACCACTTCTATTTTTAGGTAGAGAGTAACGTAAGTGAAGTGGCTATTTTTGGAGCAGCTTCAGAATCTTTCAGTAAGAAAAACATCAATTGTTCCATAGATGAAAGTATTGAAAGATTTCGGGTAGTTACTGAAGCCGCTAAAGATCGTAACATACCAGTTCGTGGGTAAGTGTCCCTTGTAGAGACCAAACAGCTAAGGCTGTAACATACCAGTTCGTGGGTAAGTGTCCCTTGTGGAGACCAAACAGCTAAGGCTGTAACATACCAGTTCGTGGGTAAGTGTCCCTTGTGGAGACCAAACAGCTAAGGCTGTAACATACCAGTACCAGTAAGTGTTCCCATTGCATGTGGGATCCAAATTTTGCTGTTTATATGCATGGACAGAGTTGAAATACCACTTATTGGTTAATGTTCCCTTCACTGTGCTGTTCTTGGTCTGCTGGTGGGAAAAAGGAGAGGAAGATGATATAGTCTTAAAGCTCAAATCAATATAGATGTTCCAATGTTATATATTCTAGGTATGTGTCCTGTGTTATGGGCTGTCCATATGAAGGTGATGTCCAACCACAGAAAGTAGCCGATGTAAGCCTTTTAGAATCCAAAGATCAATGCCAAGAGGTTAAGTCAAGGACTAGCTGGTAGAAAGGATCCTTTGTGAACCTAGATCGTTAAAACATTGTTGTTTCTTTTCTTTTTTTTTCATTTCTGTTATAAAATAAAGTGATACCTGGTATTTTTCAGGTAGCTAAGAAGTTATATGAGTTGGGATGCTATGAGATATCACTGGGAGATACTATAGGTGTGGGAACACCAGGACTGGTTCGGGAACTGATCTCCACAGTCAGTAAACAAGTTCCTGTGGATCGACTTGCAATACATTGTCACGATACATATGGCCAGGCGTTGGCCAACATATTCGCTGCTCTACAGGTAATGACTTTCTTTCACTTACCAGGAGACAGTTGGGACACCAGGAAGGGTACTGGGGTGGGTGGGATGGGGCTGGTATTTGTCCTCATAGAAATATAGTTTGTACACCAACTTCATAATTTTGAGAAAAGATTTTCCCTAAAAAATGTGTCAAAATGCATCAAAATCACAATATTTCAAAGTTTTCGTGGGAAGAACCTCTCCAATTAATGTTGCAGGCACAGCCCTCCGTGGTTTGGAGGAAAGTTTATGGTGTGTTATTTTGTTTATATTGCAGATGGGAGTAAGTGTAGTGGACAGCTCTGTATCTGGTCTAGGTGGTTGCCCCTATGCTAAAGGAGCCAGTGGTAATGTGTCTACTGAAGATGTAGTTTATTTAATGAATGGATTATCCATCAAAACGGTAGGTTTACTATTATAGTTATCCTGCCACAAATAATGAGTTAATCCCATGAATTGTGGTATTTGCCCATGGTTGAGGCTTCTGTGCCCATGAATGATGGTTTTGTAGCCCATGAATTGTGGTATTATGTGGATGTGAATGATGAAGATTGTTCCCATGAATTGTGATCTTTATGGTCATGGGTTATAGTTTGTAGTTTGTAGCCCATTGTATTGTTGTAAATGTAGCCCATGAATGAATTATGTTCGCATGATCCCAAAATCCGTTTGGGATGAGTTTAAATCTGTTCTCTTATTCTCTTACAGGGTGTCAATCTACCAAAGTTAATTGAAGCTGGACACTTCATCTCTTCTTACCTCGGCAGACCACCAGGATCTAAAGTTGCCCAAGCTACCAAATCAAGTTTATAAAGATGTGTCCTAAAATATTGGACTCGATGAAGAACTGTGTTTTTGAGTCGTCATAGAAAGACTCATATTTCTTCCTACATTTTAAGACGTGAATTTTCATCTGATTGAAATTGGATTGGATAATTAAGGTCCATTACTTCTTTAGGTGCGTTCAGTTTTAATTTTACAGAGGGAACCTTTTTAGACTTTTTATTTAGAGAGGTAGTACGGGTAAAGGAATATGAGCATTTAAGAATTAAAGGAGATTATTAGAATTAAAAAAATCATTTTTTAAGAGGGAACTGTGATATTGTCAACCAGTGCTTAATATATTGTTTATATGGAAATCTTGTGTAATAAATTTTATTTGTAAGTGTAAAAAAAAAAGAAATCGGGCTTGTCTGGCTTCGATCCCCTACGCCCAAGCTCCAGTTTCAGATATGTTATCATTTGCCAGGACAATCTGCATGCATTTCAGCACCTCTGAGTGCCATCATTTCCCGATCACCAGATTTAATCTAATGGTCATGTCTGGAACGATGCCAAGCTCCACAGACTGGTGCCATGGGTTCGAAATTGCTGCTAAATACAAGAGGATCGATTGATGCCATGGCCAGTGCTTTCCAGAGCTCAAAATTTAATTTCTTTTAAGGAAAACAGCCGTCGCAGTAACTTTGACGCTGGAGTAATTTGCTGAACGATTTATGATCCAAGGGAGAAAACTCGATTTATGAAAATTACTTTGACTAGAGACTACAGTTAATTCTTTAACTATGCATTACATGTTTTTACCGCTACGTTGTGAGTAGATGTAATGGTCTACCTTTGAAGCTTCGTGCCATTGACTCATATAATACATGCCTTGAGGGGGGTTCGAACCCATGAAACCTTTTGACCACCATCTTGAAAGAAATGAACACCATTCTTTGTGCAATGGGGGACAACATTGCAAGCCCATCCAAACATGAGGCTGGTAGAGTGTCAACAACCGTACGTAAGGTTGCGGGGGATGACTGTCTCTTAAAGTTCAGTAGTTTCGGACTAGATATTGGGATTCCCCACAAATGTGAATGAACGCACCTGCTTTATCGTGTTTTCAAGAAAATGTCTACTGTATTGGCCCTAAAATATGTTTCGAACGCAACTCACATGCAACCGAGAAGTGAGTTGCGTTCGGCACTCATGGCCTTCTTTATTATTCGCAACCATGCGCACATGCTAATCGCTCTGGTGTCAGGGTACCTTAAGTTAAAACTTTAACAAACATTCCATAGGATGGTCCGGAAAGCAATATGCTATAGCCATTTAACTATTGACTTCATCGATAAAAATTACAGTGATAAAGGGGTCTAAATACTTAATACATTTTTTAATGAATTAACTGTAGTCTTTAGTCAAAGTAAATTTTATAAATCGAGTTTTCTCCCTTAGACCGCAAATCGTTCAGCGACTTTCTAGACAAAATTACTGAAAGTGAAGGCTGCATTTCTTTAAATGAGATTAAATCTAGAGCACTACCCATGGCATCAACCGATTCTCTTATCTTGAGCTGCATTTTCGAACCCATAGCACTGAGGTGTAGAGCTTAGTTAAACCTGGTGACTTGGAAATGATGCAAGTCAGAGAGTGACGCTTACATGGAAATTACATGATTGTCTTGGCAAAATTTCCCTCATTGCACACTGCATGGAATTGCACGAATAATGGATGCATTTGCAGGACAAAATATTATGTAACCATAGCAACATGTGATTTGTAGAATCATATTTTAATTTCTTTTGCAGATACAAGAATTGTGGGGCATGAATGGATGCAATCCAAATTCTATGGTTTATGGTTTTTTGGTTCGATGCTTCACCACGGCCAAACTAATTGAGGTACGTTGATAAAATTAAGTCACACAGTAGTTCCAAATCTTGGCTTCCCAATGCTGTAAACTGCGATAGTTCATCTCTCCTACTTTGGAAGTTCTCGACATTTCTATAAGTCTTAATGGAAATCAGGATTCTTAAGCACCAGGGAAGAAAGGGTGCTCTAAATGCTCTTTTGTGAGTCTCGCGAGGAAACCCATGGGAAAAGCAGATTGTGTATGTGTGGGAGGGAGGGGGGGGGGGGGAGTGCCCCGTTTCACTTTCTGGCAAATTGGGGATCCACGGGAAAGCTAATCCGATAAACCCAATTAAAAGGATTTGAACGGGTAGGTAGCTTCCTTTTATGTTTTGAATTGAACTGGAATATGCCCAAAAATTTTCGCTCGACTTTACCATAGATTCCTTTTAAATCACCCTTAGTTTGTGTCAGGTATTCGGACTAACATATTTCATAGACAATAACGACTTATAAGTCAGACATTCGGACTACCATATCTATAACGATGATTATGACCTATATGCATTGATAGTCCCATATTTTATTTGATAAAGTTGTATAGTGGATTATATAGCCCTCTCTAGGTGAACCAATATTACGAGTCTCAACATTTGAAAGGTCTACTTGGAGATTATATATTTGAATGTGGGTATGTGTTAGCCTACGTTTATTTTACTTTCATACGAGTTTTTAGAACCTAATTCCGTTGTCGAATTGGGAAACACAATCATACAGTGGTATCAAGGGTCACTCAGCGGTTAGTTAAAACAAACTTACTAATGTTAGGGTATGAGCTAGTTATCTCGAAATCTATTCACCGTCATACCAAGATATACTAGGTTTTAAAGGTCCCTCACTGATAATGGTTTGATCAGGTTTAAACCTGGACTCTTATCGGCTATCATCTTCACAATGTCAATATTTACTAAGTCCGTCTAATACTTTGACATCATTAGACACTTCTTCTTGTATCAAGGGCGTCTGTAAATGAAGCAATTTGATTGGAATGAATCATTAAGCCTTCATGCGTAATCGAAGACCCTGATTGGTTGTATTTGCAGCCGTACAATCAAATCAGGCCGATGTATTTACCAACGTCCACGATCCAAGAAAAAGTGTAAAGATAGGGAGATATGTTATTGTACAACAAAGAGGTTGATTTTTTGAACGTTGTATACCAAGGTTATAAAATTATATAATACGCTGTCTAGACACGCGTTCCCCATTGAATATGCGCCAATATTTCTGAAATCATACTATGAGCTTATTCTTAGTACCTCGTTCAATTAAAGGGTTATTAATAATCGGATTTCGAGTTAAGGTCAGTGACAGGAAAGCAGAGTACGGGGACAGTGAGAGGAAGTCAAAAGTTAGAAAGCCAGTGAGAGAGGAAGTCAGAGTACGGGGCAGTGAGAGAGAAAGTCAAAGTTAGAAAGCCAGTGAGAGAGGAAGTCAGAGTTAGGAGAGTGAAAGGCAGTGTAAGAGAGAAGGACAGTGAGAGAGAAAGTCAAAGTTAGAAAGCCAGTGAGAGAGGAAGTCAGGGTTAGGAGAGTGAAAGGCAGTGTAAGAGAGAAGGACAGTGAGAGAGAAAGTCAGTGTTAGGAGAGTGAAAGAGAGAAGGACAGTGAGAGAGGAAGTCAATGTAAGAGAGAAGGAAGGATAGCGAAAAAAGGCAGAGCTAGAAGGTAGTGTAAGAGAGAAGGACAGTGATTGGAAAGCAGAGTTAGAGAGAAGGACAGTGATAGGAAGGCAGAGTTAGAGGACAGTGATTGGAAGGCAGAGTTAGAGAGAAGGACAGTGATAGGAAGGCAGAGTTAGAGGACAGTGATTGGAAGGCAGAGTTAGAAGGTAGTGTTAGAGAGAAGGACAGTGATAAGAGGCAGAGTTAGAGGAAGGGTAAGACAGAAGGGCAGTGTGTTAAAGGGAGAGTAAGAGAGGCAGTAGAGTGAGATATTCTGGAATGTTAGGGTACTCTCTTGAATTGAGAGATACGTTATGTACCTCCGTGCATTGCTCCAGATTACAGTACTCTGAAGGCTTATTTTTTACGAACTGTTGTGTTCGCAATGAAAATGTCAATTATCATAGAGTTTGAAGGTTTTAAATAAATTTCATAACTTATTGCAGTGGTCAATGTAATGACCGGAAATGGTTTATTATTTTGACCTTTTTTTAATCGTAGATTCGACGTTTCAATTTTGTTTAATTTTTGTATCACGGAATACAGCGATTTGAATTGATTGTACCCAGCGAATACAGCACATCAGAGCCCACAACAAAAAGCCTGTAAACATTATAACCTATTGTTACAATCCAATCAAATCGCTGCATTTACAAACTTCTGTGATACAAGGAAGGTGGCAATTGCAGTCAAGGTGTAAGATGCAGTTCGTAATAGCTTGCCATTGTGAAGATGGGTATCGAATTCAGGACAGAAATTGGGACGCCGTTGTTGATAATAACAATATAGCATCCACCATAAAAGTCATAAACATTGCCAAAAATAATATAGCCTGTAAACACGCAATCTAATTTCATACTATCTCCTTTTTGGAAGACAAATTTCGGGATAGTGATAGGGTCAGAGAAATATAAGCCTCTTTGGGTTTCGCTATCCCATAATTCATCTTTGTTATCGAGCAACGTGTCTTACGATTGGACAAAACAACGCCATTAGAACAGGATCGCAGTAGAAAATTTGTTAGATTACAATGAACTATTACTATAATTAGCTAAGCTAATAAAATTCTCCTTTCTGAGACTAAGGAACGATTGGTCGAACGGATGGCGAACCTGTCCCTTTAAGTTAAAATTTCAAGTAAGTTAAGAAAACATTTCTTTAGATTTTGATGTATATATTTCATAAATTTGAGCTAAAATGTCTTTTGACCTGCGAAAAAAAAAACCTAGACTGTCTCTTAAATTAAGAAATTTGGGCTACGACACTGGAGAAGGTAAGTTGAAACCAACCTTCACAAATTCTTCTCGATTTATTTCACTATGTGTTTGCTATTGAACGCCCGAAGGCTTTCATTAGAAGGCGTAGAGCCGTGACTAGGGAATTTAAAAAAGTTTTTCTTAGTTAATAATTTTACGTGATATGCGACACCGATTGCACCTTCATCTGCGTAGATTTGCAAGGTTGAAATGTAAAACGTAGTGAATCAACTCCAAATAGTGTACAATGATGGTAGCTTTGTTGACAGGGTTAATGTGGGGCTGGAAAAAACAATGCTGTCTAACTTTGTTTTATATATAGCTCAAGAAGGTGCGAAAATATAGGCCTACAATATTGCGAAGGGTGTAAAACTCAATTTCATCGCATTTTAGGTACATTGTAGCAAGATATAAAAAATGTCCCCCCCCCCCCCCCCAATATATTTTGATGGGCCCAATAATAAGCGAAAATAAAAACAAGAACCCCCACCGTTTTAAAGTTATAATAGTTCTGCTTGGGAGACCCCACCTTGACCTCTATATACCTAAGATAAGTATTATAATAAATACCCTATTAAATGAACAATGGGGCACGGGGTTGAGGTCGGGCTTGGCTGCCTATTGTAAACAATCCACCGTGAAAGATTCGTTAGCGTTTTCTTGCGGCGTAAGGATGTCGTTCGGGACTACAATCAACTGTAAAGCCAAAAGAAAATCTCCCTAAAAACTAGAACTTTTGACTTCAAGAGACAAAAATGTATAGTTGGTAAACCGATGGTCACAATATAGAATAAATGCATCAGTGAGTGTCAAATGTTAGGGACTATTTTCAGATCGCAATGTTACAATCACGTGACAAACCAAAAAGTAAAGGGACTCGCTCCAGAAGACACAAGGATTCGATACACTCATTACCGAGGTAAATTCAACTTTACGGAAACGTCCGAGTGTTGCCGAACATGCCTATTGCTTATATAATAGATTCAAATTTCTTTACAGGTATTATTTGGGATTTGTTGAGTTTGGATATCGACGGATTTTAGAAATTAAAATATGACAGCCTAAACCTTGCCAAGGTAAGTTCACAAGCACCTTTACTTCAATAAAAGCGGCACAGGCATTAGCCTATGATGGTCGTCGGTTCTATTCTTTGGTGACCTAGCTGTAAATGGGTACAGATAATTCGAGAGAGATCAATGCCAAGAGGTTCGGTCAAGGACCAGCTGGTAGAAAAGATCCTCATTATTCCAGTTGACCCAGCTGTAAATGGGTACAGATAATCCTACAGAGATCAAAGCCAAGAGGTTTGGTCAAGGACAAGCTGGTAGAAAAGATCCGCATTATTCCAGTCAACCCAGCTATAAATGGGTACAGATAATCAAGGAGAGATCAATGCCAAGAGGTTCGGCCAGATATTCTAGTCGACCAAGCTGTAAATGGGTACAGATAAGCTGATAGAAAGAGACTCCCCCCCCCCCCCCCCCGAAAAGGAGTGCGGGTAGCTGAAACTTGGTTTGATGAACTGACAATAGTCGAATATGCGTTTATTGCGGTCATTCGGTTATCCCCCCCCCCCCCCCTCCCTATCCCCACCATTAGTAACCATACTCGTTTTACCATTTTAGGCAATTCAAGATGGCGCATAGAAACGTAAGGAGGATCGGCGGTTACGCCAAACCGTCTGAACAGTCGCAGCATGACAGCAAAACCGACTGCGGAATCGGACTGTGTAAACCGCAAGGGCTCCAGTGCTGTGCGACGATGGGATGTTTCGCTGGAATTTACGGACTATCAGGAATAATGACGTCATCACTACAGATATATATCAACTCGCAGATTACTACGCTGGAAAAACAGTTTGGGTTAAGTTCGACTGTAAGCGGATTGATATTGAGCAGTAACGACATCGGTTACTTGTTAACCACACTGTTTATGAGTTATATCGCACGTCGGACGCACATACCTCGAGTTCTTGCGTTATCTACCATCTTCTACGGCATATCCGGCATCTTGTGTAGTGTGCCACATTTTCTGAACGTTGACAGTCATCGACTCAGTTCCGTTGTAGGCAACGTTACAGTTACGTTAAGTAGTCCGTTACAAAATGGAGCCTTGTGTGTGAACAGTTCCTTGGGATTGAACGCAACAGATCACTGTGCCCTTACGGCTAGTTTAGCCACCAATGACAATACAGTACGAACAGTGGCTATCCTGTTTTTAGCTCTAGGAATGTGTTTTCAAGGCTTTGGTAAATCGCCCAGATATCCCTTTCTGGCAACATACGTTGATGATAACGTGGAACAAACGAAAACTCCAATGTTTTTAGGTAAGGATACTAGTTTATATCTCTTCCTCGTTTATTGCTCGTTTATTGCTCGTTAATTGCTCGTTAATTGCTCGTTAATTGCTCATCAAGTGCTAGGTCATCATCCATTGATCATCCATTGCTCACCTAGTGTTCGTCGAGTGCCCATCTAGTCTTCGTCCAGTGCCCATCCAGTCTTCGTCCAGTGCCCATCAATTGCTCGTTCATTACTCGTATTTTGCTCACCCAGTGCTCGCCCGTTGCTCATCCAATACTCGTCCATTTCTCGTCCATACAGAGTATCTATTTGAATTTTCCAGGTATTATTTCTGGTATGGGTATTCTAGGACCAGCTCTTGGCTTTGTTCTAGGTGGAGTCTTCAGTCGATTTTACGTTACGCTGGAAAGTAAGTCAAAATTTACTATACTTTTCACATTTTTTTTATCTGCTTGGGATAATAGAGACGAAAAACCGATATACAGTGTCCATTTTTATCAAGGATGTCACTTATAAACCTATATCTATTTGCCGTGTCGTTGTAGATACCAGCATGTCCACTAGTGATCCAAGATGGATCGGAGCATGGTGGTTGGGGTTTCTATTTTTCGGTAGTATAGGAATTATCGTAGGGACACCGTTGCTGTGCTTTCCCAAGAGAATGAAAACCAGACCTCGACATTTGGATAAATTGAAAAAGAAAAAGAAAGATTTGCTGATTAAAAGAACCTTCTGTACAGATATAAAAGGTAAGACATGATGCCAATCTACTCTTGAGTTTTCACTTTTCACAATTAAACTGAAAGTGGTATTTAAAATTCATTTCTTGTTTACGGAATTATCATTTTTGTTTTCATAATCATCATTATTGTTTTCATAATCATCGTTATTGTTTTCATTATCATCGTTATTGTTTTCATAATCATCAATATTGTTTTCATAATCATCGTTATTGTTTTCATTATCATCGTTATTGTTTTCATAATCATCATTATTGTTTTCATAATCATCATTATTGCTTTCATAATCATCATTATTGTTTTCATTATCATTGTTATTGTTTTCATAATGATTATTTTTGTTTTCATAATCATCGTTATTGTTTTCATAATCATCATTATTGTTTTCATTATCATTGTTATTGTTTTCATAATGATTATTTTTTGTTTTCATCGACTGATTTTTTCTTTCAGAATTAATGAAGTCTGTTTTGAGATTATTGACGTCGCCTATCTATATTCTAAGTAATATGGCGTCCTGTATTTTGCTGCTTTCCATCAGTGGGATGTTGGCGTATCTGCCGAAGTACCTCGAATCCCAATACCGTATACCAACATGGAAGGCCAATGTCCTGTTAGGTAAGACTTTGATAATCTAAAGCCAAAGAGCATCTTTGTATCAGCTAGCAACTGGTGTGGTATTTTGGAAGAACCGAATCAATCGCTAAAATAAAGGGGATCGAAGTTCATTGGCGATTGCAAAATTGCTGATGCTCGTGTTGCTGCAAATATGTATATCTTGTCGTTGACCTGATTGGTCGGAATCTGCGATCATCCAGCTGACCGTAGTTAAGAGTGTCTTGGTCTAGTTCCCGATCTGAGTGTTTCGACTCAGAGGCGAGGTGGATCTGGATCACCTTCATACGAGCCACGAGTACTCCTAATCCCAGCACGTTCTGCTAATTTCAGGAACAATGAATGTTTTTGGTGCTTCCCTTGGAATAATGGTTGGCGGAATATTCACCACCAGGTTGAAGCTAAAGCCTCTGACCTGTTTGAAGTTTGTGGTCATCACAACAGTGGTGTCTATTGGTCTATCTTGCTCTGGTTTCTTCTTGGGCTGTGATCCGCCCAATCTTCACATGGGAGTGAATAGGTTAGTACTGTTAAAACTCATTTGATGGTGGGGCTATATATAGTAACAATGGCGGCACCTTGAACCCTGCTTCAGTAAGCTTTGTCAACTGTTACGTATCTGTACCAATATTTTACAAGGTTAAAAACTTAAGCTCTCGAGGATCCTCTCTAGCTTGTCTTGTCCCTGACCGAACGTCTTAACGTCTCAATCTGCTCTTTCCCTAGATTACCCATACCCATTTACAGCTGATTCGACTGGAATCGTGGGGATCTTAGTACCAGGAGGCCGAGTAATGATGAACTGTTCAAGGTCCCGATGAATATAATTTTATATATTTTTCAGCGAGCTAATTGCCTCCAACAATGAGAGTATATCGTACATGACGCCACATAATATGACGTATATGAAAGGGGTTTGTGACGTCACGGCATGTGATTGCGATGATAAGATGTATTTTCCAGTGTGTGGTTCCGATGATTTGAATTATTTTTCACCGTGCCATGCTGGATGTAGGAACACAGATGATTTGGTATGTAGAAAGTCCATTAGACATCCTAAAAAATCCATTAGACTTCCCCTAAAAGCCCATAAGACATCTTCTAAAAAATCCATTAGACTTCCCCTAAAAGTCCATAAGACATCTTCTAAAAAATCCATTAGACTTCCCCTAAAAGTCCATAAGACATCTTCTAAAAAATCCATTAGACTTCCCCTAAAAGTGCATTAGACATATACTAAAACGTCCATTAGACTTCCTCTTAAAAGTCCATTAGACTTCCCCTAAAAGTCCATTAGACATATACTAAAACGTCCATTAGACTTCCTCTTAAAAGTCCATTAGACATCCCCTAAAAAGTCCATTAGACTTCCCCTAAAAAGTCCATTAGACATCCCCTAAAAAGTCCATTAGACATCCCCTAAAAAGTCCATTAGACATCCCCTAAAAAGTCCATTAGACATCCACTTAAAAAAAACCTTCTGTATAAAATTGTATCTGTTTTCAGATATTCAGCAACTGTACCTGTATTGGAGAGAAGAATGCGACGGCTCAGCCCGGGCTATGTGGTGGAGAGTGTGACACTATGCTGTGGGTTTATGTAGCTTTTAATTTTGTCGCTGCTTTTGCCACAACTTTGACCATAATGCCCAGTTTTATTGTATACGTCAGGTATGATATCTTTGTATTTATCGAGTCCAACCAGTTGTGAAAGGTTACGGATCAATGCCAAGATGATTGGTCAAGGACTAGCTGGTAGACAGGATCCTCATTAATGCATTAGAACCAGCTGTAATGGTACAGATGAATGGGAAAGGATCATTACCAAGAAATTTGGTCACGGACCAGCTCTGGTAGAAAGGATCCTCATGAGCCTATGTTGCAATCCTTGCTAAATAAAATAGTTGGTTCTTTCTTTCACTTGTTGCACAATGACAGACGTTGTCCGACTTCATTAGTATTAGCATTAGCAGAAGCTGAAAAGCTACACTTACCTAAGGATTTCCCCTCTAACATGCCCTATTTAACACTGCTGTTTTGGGCATGAATTCCCTCTATTGCTGGCTGGAAACTCTCGAGTGATTGTATATTCACATGGATGTTTACCGTCTTTGTAGGTCGATAAGGGAAAAGGACAAGCCTCTAGGTACGGGACTGTCTGCATTTCTTAATACTTTATTGGGTAAGTCATCTTTCTTTTTATAGCTCAAATGGGGGTTTGCCTGTCAGTGATGCAGGTTGGAGTGGTTTTATGGCAAAGGCGTTTAGTCGGAAAGGGACAGTAAACTGAGCAAATGTGTGTAACAAGATCCGTCGACAGTTGGAATCGAAAAAGGATAGACTGGAGTAAATGTTCCTCATTGCAAACTGCATGATGTTGATCGTCTTCGAGAAGAAAAATAAAGTTCCAATTCCTTTCCTTTCATTTCATTTCATTTTATTCCATTTCAGGATTTTTCCCTGGTGCCATAGTGTACGGTCGGATGATAGACACGACTTGCTTGATCTGGTCCACCAGCTGTTCCGGCAACGGCTCCTGTAGCTTGTACGATAGTGTAGATTTTAGAGTCAAATACCATTTACTTTTTACCCTGTGTAGAATAGCCTGCTCTGGATTCTACATCATTGCCTTGGTGGTGGCTCTGAAGAAAAAACAACCTTTCTACATCGACTATGAGACACCTCAGGTGATAGCCGAAAAAGAATTATTCGTTGATCCCGACATACGAAAAAAAAATATTCTAAAAACAAAGGGAACGAAAGTTTGATTACAAAAAATATTCTAAAAACAAAGGGACCGAAAGTTTGATTACAAAAAATATTCTAAAAACAAAGGGAACGAAAGTTTGATTAAAAAAAATATTCTAAAAACAAAGGGAACGAAAGTTTGATTACAAAAAATATTCTAAAAACAAAGGGACCGAAAGTTTGATTACAAAAAATATTCTAAAAACAAAGGGAACGAAAGTTTGATTTAAAAAAACAAAGGGACAATTATATGAAAATAAAATGGCAGTGTGAACGCCTTTAATTTGCATATTTAACCAAATTTACACCATAATCTGGATGATATAGCGAAGCCATTTTGAAAATTTGGATCGTTAATAATAAAGTTAAAAACAAATTAAAATAATTAAAAGAA